ATATATATATATATGTATGTATATATATATATATGTATATATATATGTGTATGTATATATATATAAATATATTGTGTGTGTGTGTGTGTGTGTGTGTGTGTGTGTGTATTTGTGTGTGTGCGTGCGTGTGTGTGTGTGTGAGTGTATATGTGTGCGTGTGTATGGGCGTGTGTGTGTATGTATGTGTTTGTGTGTGTGTCATAAACTTGATTTACATTCTTTTAGAAGATTGTGTTGCATTTATAGAACAATAAGTTATTAATCAAATTTGTACGAGGAGTCTGCACTCTCCTTTCATAGAAGTGGTCGCTACTGCAGAATAATACTTTCTAATTTTCATGTGATATATTGTTTTCATTTTTTGTGCAACTGTTTTTATTAAAATCTTTCCAATAACGTTACATGTTTGACCTTTTTTTTTCTTTTCTTTTCGATTAATCAATTTTGTCTTTTTAGAACTGAAACCGAAGATTAGTTTCCGGTTTAGTATCAGAAAATCTGCAGTAGAAATAAAGTGATTTATGTAGATTTTTATTTGCACTTGAAAATCCGAATGGTAATAAGGTGTAATGACAATAATAATGATAATAATAATAATAATAATAATAATAATAATGATAATGATAATAATAATAATAATAATAATAATAATAATAATAATAATGATAATATTAATAATAATAAATACTGTTATTATTATTATTATTATTATTATTATTATTATGACTTTGTTATCATACTTATAATAAGGAAGAAAGTTGGTTTAGATCGATATTTTCATGATGCAAACGTCAACACCGATTTTTTAACGCCATTATCATTATTATTACTAGTAGGAATTAGTATTTTTTTCTTCTGAGTTTATTTCAACTTGCCATTTTTTTTCATTTTTTTTCAGAGACTGGACAGAATGTACACTTCATCAAAAAAAAAGAAAAAAGAAGGAGAGAGAGAGAGAGAGAGAGAGAGAGAGAGAGAGAGAGAGAGAGAGAGAAACAGACAGAGACAGAGAGAGAGAGACAGAGAGAGACAGAGAGACAGAGAGAGAACGAGCGAGAGAGACAGAGACAGAGAGACAAAGACAGAGACAGAGAGACAGAGAGAGAACGAGCGAGAGAGACAGAGACAGAGAGACAAAGACAGAGACAGAGAAAAAGAGAGAAAATACACATTAAAGCATTATCAATCAAGGAAAATAAACCCACATCAATTTGTTGTTGTATCGTATATTTGATTTCTCTCATGACACTTACCAACACTGTTTACCCTGGGTGTCACCCCCCCAGAGGTTAGCCGGGCGAGAAAAAAAAGCAAAAAAAAGAAAAAAAAAAAGCATGTAGGGATTTAGGAAGAAACCCCGTTAACACATACTGAGGCTCCGGAGTTTTAAGCCTGGAGGTTAAAATCTCCTTCGCCGTCGTTTTTCTTCTGTTTTATTTCTTCTATATATGATTCTACACAGAAAGTTGACAGAAAACTTTTATATATATATTATATTTTAAAAGTAAGATCTCCTGGTTTGTAGCGTGGCATGGAGGTCGGGAAATAGCCATGTCAGCTAGGAGGAAGGAAGGAGGAGGGAAAGGAAAGGAAGAGGAGGAGGTGGAGAAGGAAGAAGAGGAGAAGGAAAAGGAAGAAGAGGAGGTTGGGGGGAAAATTAAAAAAAGGAGGAGGAGGTGGAGAAGGAAGAAGAGGAGAAGGAAAAGGAAGAAGAGGAGGTTGGGGGGAAAATTAAAAAAAGGAGGAGGAGGTGGAGAAGGAAGAAGAGGAGAAGGAAAAGGAAGAAGAGGAGGTTGGGGGGAAAATTAAAAAAAGGAGGAGGAGGACAAGGAAGAAGGTGAAGAGGATGAAATGGACTAGAAAAGAAAGAAAAGAGGAAGGGAAGGAAAAAAGAAGAATAGGGATAGAAATAAGAAGAAAGAGAAGTGAATAAGGGAAAAAAAAGGAAAAGTACACAGAGGAAGAGTAGAAGAACGAAAGAGAGGACAAAAAAAACGAGAAGAAAAAGAAGAAGGATAAAGGAGAAGAGGAAAGGGAGAGAAGAGAACAGAAGCATGCCACAAACACACACACACACGCACAAAACGTTTCAAACAGCGAAACAGAGAGAGGACGAACACCGAAATTACTCCTTTTACATCAAATATATTTACCATATGTATAAAATTATGAAACCTGGGAACCACTCTCACTGTCGAGAATATTTGAAAAGTGTCTCGTACTGGGACATTTTTTTTTTTTCCTTCTTTCCATCCCTTTTTTTTTTTTTTTACAGACTTGATTATTGAGAATAAAAGTCATTATCGCGGTTATGCATTAAATGCTATCTAGATTTCAACATAAGCTCATCAAACAGCTCAGTAACGGAGAAACTTAAAGTCTTTGGGCCTCTGTTGATCGTCAAGTCACTGTGTCTGATATTTTGTCGTATTTTTTGGAATTTTGATTAAAGAAAAAAAAAAGCGAATATGTGGGTCTTAAATTATTTATTTTTGTCTTGTTGTGGGTTAAAGGGGCCTTATTAGTATCATTCATTTTTTAAAGTCTTGATTCAATACGATTTGTTTTAGTTTTTATGGAAAAAAAGAAAGTTTTCTAATGAAAAAAAAAAAATGACTAGAAGAATTTCAACTCCATATTGATAACGAATCTCAAAAAAATTAACTAAAAGAATTTCAACTCCATGTTGATAGTAAATCTCAAAAAAGAAAAGAAAAGAAAAAAATGACTGGGGGAAGGATCTATAAATGCCCACATAGAAAATAAACCTTCGTCAACATGCGTCAAGTGTCGAAGAGAGGAACAGTCATCAACAGAGGCAAGACTGAGAGAGAGAAAGAGAGAGAGAGAGAGAGAGAGAGAGAGAGAGAGAGAGAGAGAGAGAGAGAGAGAGAGAGAGAGAGAGAGAGAGAGAGAGAGAGAGAACATTACACGAAATACTGCTCCGTATGCCGCAGTACCACTAAGAATCTACGACAACATTCATTAACAACAAGTTTCGAGAGAGCTAGAACTGCATATACACTAATAATAATAATAATAATAATAATAATAATAATAAAGAGAGAGAGAAAGAGACAAGAGAAATACCATTTGTTAACTTTTGAGAGATATGTGTTCCACTGGGGCGTGAAGATATGTATACAAACAGAAGGTAACCGTTTAAAGAGGAATTAAGGGTAGACTAAGATAGTACGGGGTTGGGGGGGGGGCGCTGCTGGAGGAGGTGAGATGGGGGGGAGGGGGTGTAGAGGAGCGTGGGGGGAGGGGAAGAGGAGGTGAGATGGGGGAGGGGCGTGGGGAGGGGGGGAGGGGTGTAGAGGGGCGTGGGGGGGGGAAGGGAAGAGGAGGTGGGGGGAAGGAGAGGAGGTGGGGAAGAGGAGAAGGGAAGGAGAAAGTCGAAGGGAAGAGGAGAAGGGAAGGGAAGGAGAAAATCGAAAGGAAGAGAAGGGGAAGAAGAGAGGAGAAAGTGAAGGGGGGGGGAGAGGGAGAGAAAAGAGGGAGAATGGAGGCCGCGGCGGCAACTCAGTCCTCGACCCCGAACCCCACTCAACATGGCTGCTGATGAGTGAGGTTAGAAGGTCCAGGTTCGTTTTTTTTCTCGTTCTTCGGAAGACGTATCTCCGCACACATGCACCACACACACAGACAAACAGACAGACACACAGACACTCAGACGTAACGTGTATATATATATATATATGTATGAACACGGATCTATTGACAGTGTTTTATCTTTTTTTTTTAATATAATACCTACGGAAGACAACAGCTGTGACAGGAGAGGGAGAGCCGACAGAGATAATGGCTGTTACCACCGCCACCTCTACGACACACAGTGACCGGCACTGAGCGACACTTACGCCAAGGAAAAACGACTCCCACGCGCGGGGGAGAAAAAACAGCTCGTATTATAATAAAGAACATGTACTTCTTGAACAACATACGCACAGGAGGAGAGAGAGGTGACATTAGAACGAGCACAAGAAACAGTATATCTTGATGGCTAATTCTACCTCACCGGGAAGAACATTAAACATGAAAACATTGTTATTATTTCATATCTACACCATTTACACCACCAACATACATTAAGGCCGACTCCGTCAACCGTAATAAACAGAAATACGTATAACATAGTGTTATTCACCTATTCTAAGAGACCTGTACAAAACTTCGTTTTAATATTCAAAATATTCATTTGTATTTGCTGTGACAAAATATTTCTTCACATCCAACGACCATAAAGAGACAACTGCATGGTACATATATTCTTAATTGGTAACATGATAACGCTAATATTTTCTTAAATACATGGGTGTTAATCTACAACGCATTTATCAGTTAAATAATCTCTAAAACGAAAAAAAAAAAATATATCGATGTCGATAACCATTCACTTTGGCCATCTTATTGCGCATCTACACCACAAGGAAACTTAAAAGAAAGAAAGAAAAGAAAAGAAAATTAAAGGAGAGAGTCCTGGGAAACACGAGCGGCGCGCCAGAAGGAAAAGACGGCGGTTCTGGGAACTACTTCGCTTTCCTTCGTCTGAGAGTCCTTCCTGCCTCGTGGCTCCCTGGTCGTGTTTTCTTCATTTATCAAAAAGAAGAAGAAGAAGAAAGAGAAGAAGAAACAGAATTACAGAATTATACGACGGCGCAATATTAGTGGGGAATTGTGATGAATATCTTCAGCACATCACGACATTTGTCACTTAAGTTTCTACCATGTAACTATTTTTAAACATAAATAAAAGCTAACAAAGATAATGCCTTAAGGCTTACTTTACATACACGTTATAATACTTCTTCAAGCCAAACAGTGGTGCCTAACTATTCTTTGCTATTCCATGTGTTTGCAGTGCAGATTAATCAAGACATCAGATTGCAAATAATTAAAGAATTTAACTCGCTTTTTGCGGTGTGTGTATATATATATATATATATATATATATATATATATATATATATATATATATATATATATATATATATATA